TGAGGGACTGTTTGGGCGCCCCGGCAGCCTCCCCGCCTGCGTGACCAGGGCCGGTTTGGCAGCGGTTTGGGCTGTGTGTGGGCTCGTCGCGGTAGGGGATATAGTGCTTGTTTATGGTCCCACTCACCACTCCCGGCCAACGGGGCCTCGCGGGGCGTCCTCGTTTGCAGTAAAAGGCCTCTGCCATCGCTCAGAGTCCCAACCATGTCGCATGTGATCCTCCGCGCCGCCGCGCCCGAGTATGTAGTCCCTGCCAGATGCGACGTCGTCGGGGAGGGCGTCGTCGCGGGCGCCAACGTCGTCATGCGAGCCCCTACGGCTGTCCAAGGGCACGTCTGGGTGACCAGGGGCGGGGGTCGAGCCGTGAGTGCTCCGCCGGGGCGAGCTTCTGGGTCCATGGGACCGCTGCCGGACCCATCCGAGAGCCTCTCCGGACACGTTCGCTCGACGGCCTAGTTGGCGGCCGATGTTCGAGTAATGGAGAAGTCTGTCCGCGCCTAAGGATTCTGCCTTTCCTATTCTGCTCTACTACACACAAGGATTCTTGCTATTCTACCTCTCACTAGATTCCCCTTCCCAGGTTCCTCTTCTGCTCAGATATTCTGATTCTCTCCCCAGACTCTCCCATCTTGGCCCCGCTTTCAGCTTCCTGATTCTCCATTCTCGTTTCCTCCGCTTCCTTTCCGATTCTCTAGGGCAGCCAGAGCCAATTCCTGATTCTGCTCCCCCCTCCCGATTCTCCTGTCTCTCTTCCTATTCTTGATGCTCCATTTGATTCCTGATTCCTGATTCCTGATTTGTCGGATGCCCACATTTTGACCGGGATTCTGATTCCTGATTCCTGATTCCTGATTCCAACATTTTGACCGGGATTCTGATTCCTGATTCCTGATTCCTGATTCCTGATTCCTCGGAGTTACGCATTTCGGCGGGATCCTATGTTGGCCTGACTCTCCGAACTCCTGAGCCGATATTGCGTGTGCGCGGGGCTTCACACAGCTCACTCAAACTTCGCCCGCGGCAGCATGCTCAGGCGCGGGTCTCTCTGGCGCTCCAGCCTCACGTCAGCGCACTCAGCGCTTAGGCCTCGGTCCGGCGTCCGCAAAGGCGCAGTGTGTGGTGCGGGCTCTGCCCGCCCCCCCGAGGAGAGGGGGGGGGGGGCGCTCCCGCGCGGGGGGGAGCCGAGCGAAGCTCGGCTCGGGTTCAAACTAACCCTCCCCCTTTTCCCTTTTTCTAAAACTGCTCGCTGCGAGCGGCTCGCTTCTAAAACGAGCTCGCCGCGGCTGTCGCCGCGTCTCGCCTGTCTAGGCGTCGTGATGCGTGTGTGCTTTTGAGCTGGGCGTATAAGAAGAAGAAATTGAAGCACTCCTCCCATTGACTTAGTACGAGCCCCGAGACACGAGACAGCAGCCTACCCGTTCTACACCCACACCGCCGCGGAGCTGCCTAGCTGGCGGGTGCATTCACAGCGAGCCCGCGGGCTTGGAGACCCAATCAGACAGCACTCCCCACAGCAAAAGAGCAGACGTGCCGCTGTGAGCATCGCTGAGCAGCACCAACGACCGCTTGCGGGGTCGCCGCAGGCCGGCGCCAAGCTGCATCTGACGCCGGCATGCCGTTCAAACCCCGGCACCAAGCGCCCGCGGGAATGGGAGACCGCCTGCCCAGAATTAAGATCGGCCGCGCACTGCTCTGGCTCCACCATGCCACCGCCCATGAGATCTCTGACGCACGTGTGATGAGCCGCCGTTCAAAAGCGACTGTACTGTGCGGAGCGCGGAGCGCACTTCGATGGCAAAGTGGGTGGCGCAGAGGATACGGCGCGTACACATGAGCGTGATTGGTTGAGTGAGCATGCCCAGATGGCCGGCCGGCCGGGCTACCGCCCCTCGACGGGCAAAAACAGGAATCAGGAAACGAGAGTCCGGCCGGGTTGCCAAGAAATCGGCGGAGAGCGGAAAATTCTTTCCGGTATCCGGAGGCAGAATCCGCAACCGCGCGACAGAATCTGATAAGGCGAGAATCGGACGGACAGAATCAGATCGATTAGGCAGAAACGGAAGCTGGGTGAGGAATCCTGCCCGGAGGCTGAGTGCGTGGAAAGGGGACGGGCAGAATCAGATCGAGTAGGCAGAACCGGAAAAGGAGAGTGAGAATCAGGAGAAACGGACACGAATCCCTCTCGAGCCTCCGCATACAGAATCCTGTCTTGGGTGGCAGAATCGCTAGTGCAGAATCCTCAGGCGTGGACAGGGTTCTCCAAGACTGCGCATTTCGGCGTGAGCCGTGAGCACCGGCTAGTTCCAATTCACTCTGACACGCTAATCTTGAAAACGCGTCCAACGGAGCTCCGTGTTGCTCCCAGCGGAATCCCCCGCGCTTCCTGCGGCCATGGCCGATGATACTAGTATGATAGGTCATCTGGCTACCGCGAGCGCGACTCAACTCGCCGACATCGTCCGATGATGGTGCCTCAAAGTCAGCCTTCGGAGGCTATCGTGGGGTCGAGCCGGCAGTAGCCGTGACATGTGGTTCCACCACCCCTCGTAGGCTTTGCCTCTGACCGCCACCGTTCCCAGGCTGCCTAATGGGGTGGAAAGGAAGGCTGGGCGAGCGTATAGAAGCGTGCTCGACCTCGTCGTGGCAACCTGTACGGCAGCGCTGGCAGGCGCGATGAGCGTCGTGCCACCTGACCCAAGACGGGTCGCAGGCGTCGTACCGAGCGTGTCGAGACCGTGTCCTGATGTGATCTGCACGGGTGAGTCACGTCGGCGTCAAAGTAGCGACGTGCGACCTGTCAGAGCTTGATCTCCGATCTCAGCGGCGTCGAGTCGTCTCCGGCGGCGACGATTTGGTACATCTCCAGGACGCGCAGAAGCAGCTGCGACCCCGCGGAGTGGACGGGCGCACACCGCGCCACCTGCTGTGTGACGCCGTCCACTCGGCGGGGTCGCAGCTGCCTCTGGAAGGCACCGAGATTGATTGATTGATGGGAAGGCGAAACACAGTCCGACCAACGACTGGGACACCAACGCGGTATGGGTGGACGCTAGACGGGCGATGACGGTCACACAGGAGCGACACACAGAACCACAAGACAAGACACTCAGCCAAACTGACTGCCACACATCCTGAGCGAACTTCCCTAGTCACCCGCGGCCGGACTCCATCCGGCACGCGTCGCTGGGCGCTCAGAGCTGCGTCCCCTGCTCGCCACCCCGACGCCCAAGGCGCCCGAGCGAACGACAGACGGCACGCGAGACTGATTGCAATCCCGCCGACCGCCAGGCCGAGGGATGATGCGTGCGTGGTCTTGTAGTGGGTCTCGGAGGTATAAATACCGCGGGAGGTATTGATTGATTGATTGATGGGAAGGCGAAACACAGTCCGACCAACGACTGGGACACCAACGCGGTAATGGGTGGACGCAGGACGGGCGATGACGGTCACACAGGAGCGACACACAGAACCACAAGACAAGACACTCAGCCAAACTGACTGCCACACATCCTGAGCGAACTTCCCTAGTCACCCGCGGCCGGACTCCATCCGGCACGCGTCGCTGGGCGCTCAGAGCCGCGTCCCCTGCTCGCCACCCCGACGCCCGAAGGCGCCCGAGCGAACGACAGGCAGCACGCGAAGACTGATTGCAATCCCGCCGACCGCCAGGCCGCGGGATGATGCGTGCGTGGTCTTGTAAGGTATTTTTCTCATGGATTCTTCTCTCGTGTGTGTGCCAGTCCGCGCCAGTCCGCGCCCTTGTCGTGCCAGTGTGCTGTGAGAGAGGCGTGTATTTTAAGAATTCTTCTCTCGTGTAAAGAATTCTGCACACGGATTTTGTTTAAACCAGTGAGGGGGAGGCGGAGGCGGAGGCAGGGGCACCTGTGACGGCCCCCTACGAGAAGGGCGAGTACCGGTTCGCGCGGGAGAAGAATTGCGACCTGCGTTTGCTCGACTTCGAGACGTTCGGCGGCTTCGGGGACGGCGTCCGCAGAATTCTTCGGCAGGCGGCGGACCAGCTGAGTAACAAACTTTCGCACGCTCAGCACCTCGATGAGGTCACATGGACCACCAAGAACTGGCACGGGCTGCAGATGCAGCGCTTGTCTGTCGTTCTCCACACCGCCGTGGCGTGGCAGACGGTGAACGAGCTAGCGTGCGGGGACAGCGGCATTGTGCATGGTGCGGAGTGCATTGCCGTTCTTAACGGAGTCGCTTAGGCGGCTCCGGTGGTGTGCCGGTGATAGTACTAGCACGCGCCAGTTCGCACCTGTGTCGAGCCTGTGTGCTGTGAGAGAGAGTTGTGTTGTTTGAATTCTTCTCACGGACCGGCTACTCGAGTAGTGCGCCTCGCCGCCCTCGCGGGAGTCGCTTAGGCGGGTGTTGGTGCCAGTGCGCGCCAGTCCCGTGCCAGTGTCGTGAGAGGGAGTTCCGCCATGGCCATGAACAGCGACGCCTCCACCACCGCGGCGCTGGTCTGCGCGCAATGCGGCTCGCCCATTTCGACCGCCGAGGAGCTCTGCACCGAGCGGGTCGACACGTTTGCGCGCGCCGTCTACGCGTACGAGCTCGACGTGCTCGACGAGGAGGCGTGGTGCTACTCCGCAACCAACCCGAGCGACACGCGGTTCGACGTCGCGCGGTTCCGGCTGCCGGCTGACGCGGCGCGGGCTTGCCGGCTGCGCTTTGAGGGCGTGCCGACGGCGGAGCACTCTTGGTTCCCGCCGTTCCTGTGGAGCATGGCGTGCTGCGAGCGCTGCCGCTCCCACCTCGGCTGGGCATTTCACCGCGAGGGCGCCTCCACGCCCGAGTTTGTCGGCCTTATCCTCACCCACCTGCGGGAGCGGCAGCTCACCGAGGAGGCGATGCGGGCGGCGGCGGAGAGGCCGCGGCTGCAGGCCGAGGCAGCCGCCGTCGCGGAGGCGACGCTGGCTGGCTTGGAGGGCGTGCCGGCGGACGTGGACATGCAGGCGGTCGCCAGCGTCCTCGAGCGCCGCGTTCTCGACGAGCTGCTGCAGGATCCGGACTTCCGCCACCCAAGCGTGCTGCGTCAGCGTGCAGTCCCGAGCAGGGCGGTGGTCCCTCGCGACTATCCGCTGAGCGCTCGCCGTCGGGCCGGGGAGTTCCCTCCAGCGGCCGGCGCCGACCCGACAGAGAGGAGCGCGGGTGAGGCGGCGGCGGCGGCGGACGCGGCAAGGGCGGCGTCTGCGCGTGCGGACGCCGAGGAGCGCCACGTCGCTGAAGTGCTCCAGAGGTGGCGAGTGGCGAGTGCTGAGCCTTTTCCTCGCCAAGACGCCGAAGTGCAGAGCGACGTGGCGAGGCAACACGACGTGGCGAGGCAACATTACGAGGCGAGGCAACACGACGTGGCGAGGCAACACGACGAGGCGCAACACGACGTGGCGAGGCAACGGCTGCGAGGCGAGGCAGTGGGCGAGGCCTCTGTCCCCGAGCGGGGCGGGGCGGCGCCGGCCGCTAGCAGGGACGAGTGGTTCGATGGCCTGTCCCTCCTCTCGCTGCTGCAGCCGTCGAGCCCCTCTGGGCCGGCGGCGGAGGAGGAGCCGCGGGCGGACGCGCCGGGAGGCGGCGGAGAGGGAGAGGCGGGTGCGGGCGGAGAGGGAGAGGCGGGCGGAGGGGGAGAGGCGGACGGCGAGGGAGAGGTCAGTTGGACGCCCGGCGGCGGGGCGATCGACGCCGGCTCGAGTGCGATGCTCTCCCTCGCACGCGCGGTCATGGCCGCGCAGGGCCCGCGGCCGTCCTTCGCCGACTTTTGCGTGGACGTTCCGGCCAGCAACCCCTTCAGTCCCCGCGGGACCGTGGAGGACGTGGACTGAGCAACGAGAGAGGCCCTCTCGTCTGAGAAGGCATTGCCTTGCCCGGCAACGGCTCTGCGGGTCATACGTCAGTACTTAGACCCTATCATAGAGCCTGTGGTGTGGATGTGGTCGGGGGAATCTCGTTACTGTAGCACACCCTGCACATGCCTCTACGCTCTCGTACTTTTATTCTTGAATCTACAGTCTTCGAAACGACACCGCGACTCCGATGACGTTGTCTAATCGTCATACGAGGGAGGGAGGGAACCAATTGACAGAATCTCACATAATGACAGCTGATCCTGAAACATCTCGCGGTTCTCGCTAAACGCACTCCATGACCGATGACGCACTCTGACTCCTCCCCTTACGGCTGAAGTGGCGGCAGGGCGAACTTCTCCCCTCCCGTCACGATGCTGCGATCAACGGTTGCGGGCGGCTCGCCCGGCGGCTGGTGCAACCGCACGCCGGGCGCGGCGTCGACGACGTGCCTTCGCATGTCTAGCCCCGGCATCAGCGCCGTGAGCTGCAGCCCGCGCGGCGTGAGCTGGAACAAGCCGACGCTGGTCACGTAGAGGACGCTCTTGCCGGCGGCGAGCGCCCTGGCGCCGCTGAAGGTCACCTCGCTCACACGTGGCACGAGCTTTGCGCCAACCTGCCGCGCCATGCTCAACGAGCCGTCGGCGCCCACGGTGATGGTCGCCTGTTGCGAGAACGGGCAGACAAAGATGACGAGCTGAGCGCAGTCGATCAGGTCCATAAAGCCGCCCGGCCCGACGTAGCTCGCAACGTCCCCGCGCTTGTTGGACACGTTGACGTCGCCCGCCTCGTCAAACTCGAGCGCGCCAAGCACCACCGCGTCGAGGCTGCCCTGCATCCGCTCAAACGCTTCCGCCGTGGAGACCATCTCGTCCGGGAAGATGGAGGCGCCGAAGAGCATGCCCGGCGCCGGCACGCCCCCAAAGACGCCGGTCTCGACCACCATGCGGAGCTGCTCCAGCGCGCCGCACTCATCTAGCACCGAAGACACCTCCTCGGGCAGGCCTGTGCCGATGTCCACCAGCGCGCCGGCAGACACACGCGAGGTGAGCTCGTGCGCCGCGAGGCGCGCCATCGCGCGGTCGATGTCGCTGCGCACGGGCGTGGCGTTGGCGAGCTTGCACATGAGGCGGGCGGACTGCAGCCCCTTGCCCTTCGAGACGCCGTCGGCGCCGTGCTGCAGCGTGAGCCACGAGAAGGGAGAGCCGTACGTGGCGCCAAGCACCTGCTCCGTGCGACCGTTGACGACGATGGCGTCGACGTGCTCGGCGTTGATCCAGACCTGCATGCCGCGCGCCGCGGCGTCGTCCACGACGGCGCCGACCTGCGCCACCACCACGCCGCCGCCTCGCTTTGCGGCGGTCGCCATGTCGTACGACTCGTTAAGGACCGCCGCGCCGTGCGAGTAAAGGTTGCCGCGCCGGTCGGCCAGCGGCGCGTTGATGACTGCGGCGTCGATGCGGTCGACGCCGAGCGAGAACTGGAGGCCGCCCGAGTCGGCGTCGGGCACCACCAGGTGCGGCGCGCCCGGCGTGAGCGGAGAGCCGCGGCCGCACCGCGGGTCCACAAAGGTGCCGACGCCCACGGTCGACACGAGCTGGGGTTGCCGCCCGCCGGCGAGTCGGGCGAAGAGCCTCGCGATGATGCCGAGCGGCAGGATCTGGACCTCGAGGCCGGAGTCGGGCCCCTCCGCAAGCCGCAGGAACTTGGGGAGCGAGAGCGTGTGCGACACAACGAGGCGCGTCACGAGCCCCGGCAGCGCCAACTCCTCGACAGAGCCCCGCAGGATGCCCTTCCCCTTTGCCCCGTTGCCTCCCGGCCCGACCACGGTCAGCCCGCGTGGTGAGGCGGTGGCGAGGTGGCGCCGCCGCAGCGCCCCCACGAGAAGGCTGGGCGCCACGTTGGCCGCCACTCCCGAGAAGGCCACCACGGCGCCGTCACGGATGAGCGTGACTGCGGCTTCGGCGCTCATGAAGCGCGGGTTGGCAGCGGCAAGCTCCGCATCGTACGCCGCGTGGTCGATGCTGAAGGCGCTCCACCCTGCACGAACCCACATCGAGCGGACCAGGCGAAGGGCGATCGACGCTTTCTCGACGAGCGTCAGCACGTCGGGATCACGATGCGGCAGCACGGCCCAGGCAGTGACGGAAAGCGCGAGGAGCGCAGCGAGCGCAGCGAGCGCTCGGACGGCAATGGAGAAGTCGACGGCACGAAGAGCGAGGTCAACGACGGAATGCAGGGCTCCGAGCGCGACCGAGGGGTCGGGCCGCGGCGCGGCGAGAAGGCAGGCGACGGCGACGGCGGCGGTGGCGGCAGTGGTGGCCGTGACACGGGAGGAGATGGAGGACTTGGTGGTGGAGCTCGTCACAGTGAGGACGAACGAGGAGCGGGAGGAGCGCGAGCAGGAGCGGGAAGAGGCGCGGGATGTCATTGTGACCGAGAAGAGTGGTCGGGGAAGGACCCCGGCAAGCAAGCAAGGGGCTCTAAGGAGCAACAAAAGAATTCAACGCGATTTGTGGCGCGCAGCAAAGAAACGCTGGTCCCGCAAAAGATCGCAGCGGGAAATCCCACTGACTGGCAAATTCCTTCCCGACCCACACAGACGATGGGAGAGGCAGAACAGACACGCAGGCAGGGCGAGACGGGCGGCGGTAGGAGGACTTTGCAGACAGCTTCCAGAGACACACAGAGATTATCGAACAGCAGCGCTCGGCAGCACGTCGACGACGACACGTCCTTGTCCTCTCTGGCGTACACGTAGCGATCAAAAGAAGGTTTACAACTTGGAGCACTTGGAGTGCAGTCATTACAACTTAACTCCCTCTCACGACACTAGGCACGGACGGGACTGGCGCGTGTCTTGTGAGCTTGTTTGTGTCTGTGTGTCGCTCGTGCGTGTCGTCATCATCTGTCTTGCGTCCACCCATACCGCGTTGGTGTCCAGTCCGAGCCTGACTGTTCTTCTCACCTTACTACATACATACATGCGCACTGGTACTAAACACAGGTACACACGGGAGCCGCCTACAGTTGTAAGCGACTTCCGCGAGTGGGAGGATGGCACGTCGCCACCACACAGGGATTTTAAGGAAAGGAGAGTGTGCTGTGCTAGTGCCGCAAAGATGCCCTGCTACTCGAATCTCAGACGCGCGTCCCTTCACGAAACTGACTGTGGAATTGGATGGGGAAATCCCCCCGACACAGCTATTAATACTAGATACTAATTAAGAGGAGGGCATCTTACAAGGTGAGGTTCGCCAGGTGTGAAAAAATTATAAGGGTCATAGTCGCCGATTCGATCCGGAAGCCACTCGACCATCGAGAGGCCGACGGCCGAAGTCGGCAAACGTAGATCAAATGGTTAGAGATAGCGTCCACTCAGCGACCGATACCCGTAACACATTACCGAGGGAATTAGACACCACAGATACGCACAACCGACGCCCGAAGTGCCAAGAAGGACGTCATTAGTACGAAACCTCAGAAAAGGCCATGGGCGTCGAGAGAACATTCCCTCGAGAGGACAAAGAAAGGCGACGCACCCCCTCCTTGCGCAGTGTCCCCCGCTATGTGTCGCCAATTGGGGCACGCTATCCTGTGCAATCAGGGCAAGCGGGGGCGGGGGGCACTCCCCCTGGTCTGATACTGGGGTGTGACTGTCTCCAGTCTCGGAGGGGGGCAAGAAGGTAAGAATATCTATTTTTTACATGCCCTGTCCCAGCTCCCCCACTCCTCACACTGGGTTTGCAGTGCGCGACCTCGCCACCTCGCTACCAGGGCAAACCCCCTCTCTCCCCCTAGGTGCTGCACTGGACGTCCATAGAAGGCGCGGGTCAGAGGCGGGAGGGAGGCGGGGAGAATCTAGCTCGCTCTGGCAGAGAGGCAAGGGTGTGATAGAGTGTTTGGGTGAGAACAGGCGGAGCGTGTGTGCCTGGGCGCGATTGGGAGGGCACTTGTGACGAGGCAGGGTTAGGCGAGTGGCAGTCGCTGGTGCGGACTTGCTGAGTCGTGTGTGCTCCTTTTTGCTTGCTAAGACTGGAACAATTTTTTTTACGTGCCTCCAAGGGTCTGTGCCTGAGGTGGCGTTCGGTGGACGATTAAGCACGTCAGCAATGTTGTGTGTGTGTGTGTGTGTGTGTGTGTGTGTGTGTGTGTGTGCACTCACTCACTCACTCACTCACTCACGTCAGCACATGTACATGTTGTGTATCTATATCTGGCGCCTCGCTTGCTGTTGGGGGGGCCCGGGGGGGGGGGGGGGGCTCCAGGCCTCACATTGCCCCTTAAGCGGAATCAACACCGGTTTACCGCCTCCCCTGGGACGCCTCCGCGGTTACCCCCCCCCCCCCCCCGGGGAAATTTTTCCTTAAAAGATGGTGTAACTACTCATAATCCCCCATAGGGAGCCTATTTA